AAAGGAAAGGAAAGGAAAGGAAAGGAAAGGAAAGGAAAGGAAAGGAAAGGAAAGGAAAGGAAAGGAAAGGAAAGAGAAGAGAAGCTCTGGGCTGCACTGAGGAGAAAAAGCCATGCTTTTTGCTCCAACTTTTAGCCACCTACCTGCCTGCTGCTGCCTTAAGCAGAAGCAATTTCTTTCTGCTGAGGGTATTTTGGGGCCATTTAGCGTTGGGGTTCCCAGCTACTGGGGAAGTCCCTAAATTTCTTGAGCTTTGTCAGGACTGGCATCTTGCTCAGCATCCTTTAGGTAACACGATTCCTGTTTCCTTTGAAGGTGTCCCACCGTGCCCATTGCCCTCTCCTTGCTCAGGGGATCTGACCAACACAATGTTATAAAGCTAATGACTCAGACTGCTGGATTCCAGCCTCAGGCAAGTCTTCAGACTTGGCTTCTGCAGCGGGTGGAGGCCTCTACAGCCCCACACAGGGGCTGCTGCTCTCAAGCTAGGGACTTCCCCTCCTGGTCTTTCAAAGCACTTTCACACCTGCTTAGGGGTTCATGAACTGCCTGGGACCTACTGAAAGCATCAGGGCCTCTGTTCTGAGTCCCAGGAGCAGCCACTTCCATAGGATGCTTACCTCTCACCCTTTGCTTAAGATCTAGCTCACTAACTCACTACCTGCAAGATGTAGCTTTCTCTCCAGCTAGGCAGTCACTGCCATAGCCAACTGCCAGATGTTATCCTCAGTGTCCCTGAGCACTCTGTTTCTCTAAGATCCCACAGCATCCTAGGGTAGAGGGACAGCCTGTTATGACATGGTTAGATCAGCTCTAGAATTAAAACACAAAACAGCAGAAATGACCTTTTGGCCAAAAGATAGAGGGAGGGCTGGAGAGATGGCTCAGTGGTTAAGAGCACTGACTGCACTTCCAGAGGTCCTGAGTTCAAATCCCAGCAACCACATGGTGGCTCACAACCATCTGTAATGAGATCTGATGCCCTCTTCTGGTGTGTCTGAAGACAGCTACAGTGTATTCATATATAATAAATAAATAAATCTTTAAAAAAAAAAAGATAGAGGGAACTCAGGGTAGGTAACCTACAAATGGAGAGCTGCCTTTAGATTGATGGCCCTGGGGTCTGAGTGTAGAGTATAGTGGGCAGGAACAAAGGTTGGGGAGACCTAGAAGGAATGTGAGGGAACACAGGCTATGTATGACATGCAGTGGAAGAGACTCTGAACGCTTTTCTCTTAAGGTGATATAAGTTTGCCCAAAAGTAGGATCTTCATGACATTTCTGAGAGGATTTAAGTATCAGGTCCCTGTAAGTCTTAGCACAGAATAAGCAGACAAAATGAGCCATCGTCTGTAGTGCCAAACCAAGAATACAGGGCTGCCAAGGTGGCTTAGTGAGTAAAAGCACTTGCAAGAGTGCCTGAATGTACAGAGAGGCAGGGAGCATTAAGAAAGCCACTGAAATAGACATTCTATGGTATAGTCAAGGGAAATAGGTTTTGGGGGGTTTTGTTTTGCTTTGTCTTGTTTTGTTTTGTTGTGAATAGGAGAGAGGAAATATCCAGGGACATCTGGAAGATTCCAGAGTAGAGAGAATGAGAAGTAGTCTGGACATGGCCAGAGCGATCTGTGAAAGAGGCGAGCATGGGAGAGGATAGAGAAGAATGTGGGTGTAGGTGTGGACAAATCCCACAGACTATAAGAAGGACATTAGCTGGGGGAAGGAGACTAGTGAGGGCTTTAAAAATGAACAACAAGTACTGTAAGGATGGACTGAGGGAGCCTGGAGACTGGTAGGTTCTTTGGAATGCTGTCATAGGTATATGTCCCCGGAGCCCATGTCCTTCTACCAGAGGTAAGAAATGACTCCCGTGGAGATGAAACTGTTTCACAAGACCCCAAGGAATGCTGGCTTTTCTCTACCTGCCAAAAATCCTTCTACGGTCTTCATTCTAAGACATATGGACTGTCTGAGACCAAATACTGACCACCCACTGACCGTCAGAGTTTGATCCTCTGAACCACGTAAAAAGCAGGATGAGACGGCACACATTTGTGATCTCATCAGTTCTTCACCAACGCTCTTGGGCCTGGAGTGCACAGCTCGACTGCAGCAGAGACAACAAGAGAGACCCTGTCTCAGAACAAGGTGGGAAGGGAGAACCAACCAGCTGTCTCCAAATTTCACCCATTCCCTGTGGTACCCGTGCATCCAGATTCACATACATGTGTGTCACATGCACATGTATATACACTAAAGTAGTCAGTCTTAAAAAAAAAATAAGAGTCTCCAGGGGTGAGGCCCTTTCCTCGCCCTAGTCACAGTGAGCCTCTGCTAGGGTCTGTGCTGAACAAAGGCCTGGGGACATGTGTGGAGCAAAAGTTACCTGTATTGAGGGAGGATAGTAGGGAGAGACAAACTTCTGTGTCCACAGTATTATCATTTTTCGTGGATGTATAATAGTCCATAAAATGGGTGAACCTCAGTTTCCATACTCATTTCCTATTGTGATTCAGAGTATTCCCAATGTTTATAGATACAGTTTAAAGAGACATTCATAAATTTATAGTCTTTTTGTTGTGGTTGTTAGTTTCCAAGTTGGACTGCTGATTTTCATTGTTTTGCTGGTGAAATTATGGAGCAATGAGTTGTAAACTTTCTAAAATTTTTGTTCTTTTGCTTTTGCTAACAAGAACTTTCTGACAAGGATGCTTTCTGAGAGAGATTGTACCACTAGTCAGTACAGAATGAAGTCCTGTTTTCTCTCGCTTTCCCTGTAACTATTATTATGAATTAAAAACCCCACAAATGACTTAAAGGCCCAGAAGACTAACAAAGACAGCTTTCATTTGCATGCCTTTGGTCACTAGGAAGGTTGGACTTTCACAATGTATGATTTTTATTTGGTTCAAGCTGGTGCAAGCTATTTGGATGCTACAGTTTGATTCTCTGTGAGTGTCTAACCGCACCAGTTCATTTTGAGAACCTGTTGCATTCTGGGAAGCATGAGCTCCAGGTTCTTGTGCCCCTCCCTGGCCCTATGATTATTCGAAGCTGGATCTTTCATCATCAATTGAGGGGAGGGTCTGGAGTGGCTCTATGGAAGAGGTACAAGAGGGGTAGATTTTCCAGGTAGGATATGGATCTCAAAGAGGCCTGTGTGTGAAATGGAAAGTTTGTAGGGACTTTGGAAAAATCCTGGTAGGAAGTGGCAGGTGGTGCCCTGTGGGGACCTCTACCAAATGGGGGTCTAACACTGAAGGCTAGACTTAAATGTGGAAGCCAAAAGGTCTTTGCATTATTCTGGGCTTGAGAGAAGCCACTGTGAAGCCATCTTCAGAACACATAGACAGCTTGCCTGTTTCTCAGTGTTGGTTTCTATGTTTGAAAACAAAACAAACAAAACAAAACCAGACAAAAACAGTGTGCACCAGTGCTGCCAGTAATCACAGAAGGAATCAAGAAGAGAGCCAGGAGTTGGGGAGCCCCACGTGGTTGCAGCAGCTTGGGGAATAGAAGAAGGCAGGCTTCAGGTGAGGCTCCAGGGTGCCAGCCACCTCCTCCATGCAAAACATTCGGAGCGGGGCAGGGATACCTGTGGATTGATAAACATATGTCCTAGTCTTCACAAAGTTGCACTGGTCAGTCCACTCACCTTCCTACCCACGCTCCATGCATGCGTGCACCTATCCATCTCTTGCTTTATGCATCCATTTCCCCTTTATCCCTTTATCCATCATCCCCTCATCTCATCAGTCCTCCCATCATCTGTCCACTCATCCATCCATGTATCCATTTCCTAATCTCTTCATTCATGGGGGCCCTCCCACCCACTCAACCACTCACCAGTATCTCATCTCTTCATCCATCTACCCATCCCTTCATTCTGTGATCCCTTCATCCATTTATCATCTATCCATGTCACCGCCCATTTGTTCTCTATCAATCTATCCCATCATCCCATCCACCCTTCCTTGCTTCCTTCCATCCATCCATCTATTCATATTCCAATCCGCTTACTTTCTTTCCACTCATCTATCAATTCATCATCCCCTCATCCATCCATGCATTTGTTCTCTACTGACTCATCTCCCTCATCCGTCTGTCCATCCACCCATTCCCCCATCCTCTCACCCACCCTTCCATCCGTTTGCTCTCTATCCACCCATTCATTCCCAATGCACGGTTTTATTTGACAGCAAATGTTACAATGAAGACATGCTCATTTTCTTGGAACTCTCCTCATTCTGTCCCTTCCAAAGAATCCTGATGATGTGAACTTAGTAGAGTTTCATCTTTCCTTGGGGTGGGGAATGGGGGTAGAGACCTCAGGACTCTGTACCTCTCAGACTCCTGAGTCCTGAACCTTTAGAGCTGAGCCAGCTTCCCGGTTCCTCTTCAAACCAGGGGCGGATCATTCAAAACGCAGGGGAGCCCCCTGCGTGCGTGCGCTGTGGCTAGCCCTGAGTCATCTCTGCACGTGGTGGCCCCTTCTCTGTTAGGCTTCACAGGCAAGCAGATCGCTGCATCACAGGTGGCAAGAGAGTGGGGGAGGGAAGTATTAGGGCTGAACCCGAGGAAGACAGGCGAGGAAGGCGCAGCCACATTAGAAGTGATTTCACCACGGAGAGTCAGGGTGCCGGCAGGTGGCCAGGCGCTGGAGACTCGGGAAGCCAAGATGAGCGCCCTCTTCACAGCAGTAGGGTTGCTGTTCCTGGGGATGCTTCAAGCCTACCCAAAGGTAAGGGAATGACAGTAGCCCTGGACAGTGTGTGGGAGCAGCCGCTAGAGCAAAGGACAGGGCAAACCTCTCACCTCATTCCCTTACTCAAACTGGAGTGAGGGAGCACAGGAGGCAACCGTATATACAAGTATCCACGATGGGTGGATAACTGAGGGGTAAAGTCAGAGCACCTCTCTTCACACCCGCAGGTAGTAGATAGTTGTTGGGAGCAGTTCGTTCTTTCATTCACCATGAGTTGAACCCGGAGCAAGAGAACGCTATTCCTGACCCCTTACTGCTGGCCCAGAGGGGGTCCTGGATAGAGAAACCTTTGTGTGCCATTTTGGCCGGAGGATGATGCCAGGTTGTTTGTGCATCCATAGGCTGGAAGGGCTCAGGAAAGAGAGGAAGGAGTGGATGAGAGCAAAGATGAGGGTCTGGCCAGCCGGTAGTGTGGGCTGGGTGCCGGGAGCAAGCACATGGTGGATATTTGTCCCTGGAGCAAATCAGTGCTGCCTCTGGTTCTCTAGTTGGCAGCACCCAGAAATAAGTCTGGGCAATGAGTTAAGAAAACTGAACAGTTCCTAGGGGCCAGTGCCACACTAGGGGGTTAGGATGTGGGAAGGAGAGGGGACTTTGAAGAGCCACTCTGATAAGCTACTTTACGGAACTAGGGGCTACATAGGAGGAAAAGGCACATGGCTGAATGGAAGCTGGGGGAGGGGAGACATGGGACAGCAGCAGGCTTCCGTGGACAGGAAGTGTCTCTGCTAGAGAGGTGTGAAAACAAGGGAGAAGAGAAGGCTGGAGGCTGGCAGGAGAGAGATGGTAGGAAGGTGTCCCTTCCATCTCCGGTGGACACTGCGACACCTGCCCTACAGAGGGCAGAAGTGAGTAGAGGAACCACCCTACCCTACGCACTCCCATGCCCAAGCCCTCATCTGGGGAAGGTAAGAGTTTGGAGCAACAAGGACCCTGGAAGATGAACGGAACAGTGGGATGTGAAAGTGGGGAGACTTAGCTTCTTTTCTCCTACTAAGTGGAAACATTTTTGATCAGAGCAGGGCACATTCTTATGTGAGTACGTAGGTTAAAGGACAACTCTGAGAGTTGGTTCTTTCCTTCGACCCTGTGGGTTTCAGGAATAGAACTTAACTCATCAGGTTTGACAGCTAGCACCTTTACCCACAGAACCATCCCACAGGCCTGTGAGAACATTTTTACAATTAAAGCAGTGTGCTTAGTACTACTTGGGATATGTGAAAACTCCCCAAACAAAAAGTGTAAGTGCTACGACAGAGCTGACTGCTTTACACCAATATCTTCTAAGCTGTAGCCATGTTCTTGCTTTTCTGCTTTATTTACAGGCATCTATAAAAGCATGTCTGTATTTGGATCACTTTTATAAAAATATATAGGGATTTCTCTTTTACTTATTTATGCTAATTAATTTTCTTCGAAACAGGGTTTCTCTATGAAACCCTGGCTGTCCTGAGATTCCCTCTGTAGACCAAGATGGCCTTGAGCTCTGGCCTCTGTCTCCTGAGTGCTGAGATTAAAGGCATGTACCACCACCGCCTGGCTTTTTTTTTTTTTTTTTTTTTTTTTTTACAAGATCTCATGTAGCTTAGGCTGGCCTCCAGTTTGCTATGTAGCCAAGGATGACCTTGAACTAGTCCTTCTCCCTCGACTTCCTGGTTGCTTAGATTGCAGGTATGCACTACCATGTTCCATGTATGCAGTTGTATGAGATTGAGCTTAGGACTTTGTGCTAGGCAAGCACTCTACCAACTGATCTACACCCTCTGTTTGTCTGTGTTTTTGTTTTGAGATAGGGTCTGTGTAACTCAGGCTGGTCTTGAACTCCCTGTAATCAAGGATGTCTGCAAACACCTAATCTTCCTGCTGGTGAGTGCTCTGTATATTACAGGCATGCGCCATCACACCCAATTGTGACATTTTTATTTGGTTTTTACATTGTCTACAGTAGGTCTTGGAGATCACGTCTGCTCATTCACATCCCTGGTGAATGAGCAGTGAGATTCCCACCACCGTCTTTTAGTTTCTTTGGATGAACTAGAGTCTCACTATGTAGTCCCAGTTAGCCTGGAACTTGTTGTATAGACCAGTCTGGCCTTGCACTGATACATCTGCTAGCTTCTGCCTCCCAAATGCTGAGAGTAAAGGCATGCGCCACCACGAGGCCACAACGTTATCTTTTGTGTGTTTGCTGTCTGGGGAGTAAGAGTGGTTCTTTACTGGAGAATAGATAAAAGGATACTGGTGATTGACAGAGCAGATGTGCATTGGAATGAAATGACACACCTTCCAGTGTGCAAGGCAATGTCTTTTCTCACAACAGTGTAAGACAGTAGCAGCTTCCCACATCCTAACCGACGACTGATTTTATCAGTCTCTATTTTGTGGTCTTGAGCGGGCTGTATCCTTCTTTTGTTAATTTGCATTTCCCAATGACAGTAGGCCGAACATCAAACCTCAAGTCTGTGGGCCTTTCATGACAGAACTTGGGGTGTCTGTGGGGGAAGAGCTGCCTGCCCAGGAAGGTCCCGCAAGTCTTCTTCCACCTTTCCATTCCAGTTGAGGTTTGAAATCCTATTAAAAACAGAACAGAACAGAACAATGACAACAACAAATCTTTTTAAAGCTGGATGTAGTGGTGCACTACTTGAATTCCAGCACTCAGCAGGCAGAGGATGGTAGAGGTCTGTAAGTTCAGACCCAATCTGGTCTACATTACCCAGGGCTATGTAGAGAGACCTTGTCTCCAAAGCAAAAGCAAAAACAGAGATCAGCCAAGCAAACCCCCTTGCACACACAGAAAGAAAGAAAGAAAGAAAGAAAGAAAGAAAGAAAGAAAGAAAGAAAG